TTTTTTTTATAATTTAAATCTTATTCCACAAGAAACCACCTTCCCTAATATGGTTTTTATTACAACCGGCATTAAATAATACTGTGTTAAATATAAAATACTTATGTTTAAATAAGAGACAAGTGGTTTGAAATACAGGACTTCTTCTTCAAAAAATTCAGAAGGTTTAACTGGTCAACATTCTTTTAAAGTTACAAAGTCATGAAAAGTTAGTACAAAAAGCTAGGGCGATCAGTATAACCCATTCATTCCCCTGATTATAGAGTACAAAACGGTCACCGGACAGAAAAATAAAATCCGAATTAGCTACAAACAGAGATTTCAAGGAATCCAAATTGATTTGGTTGAAGAGTCCAGAAAGGAATTCACAGCAAGGCAGAACACTTGACTGGTGTCCTTGAAGCTGGGAAGCTAAGCAGGGTCAGGCCTGGTTAACGCTTGGATGGGCTTCCAGTGGAGAATTCCAGTGCTGTAGGACAGAGTGGAAACTGAAAACCTGATGTGGACAAGACCCCTTTACCTTTTTCGTGAATGGGAATGATCTAAATCAGGATGTCCGACCTTAGCAACTTTAAGACTTGTGGACTTCAACTTCCAGAATTCCCCAGCCAGCCAAAGAATTCTGGGAATTGAAGTCCACGAGTCTTAAAGTTGTCAAGGTTGGACACCTTCTGCTATAAAAGGAGGGACCCAGTTTTTCAACTCACTCTTATTCTCCTTGGGAAGAAGACTTAAATTGTAACTCCCTGTGTTTTAGGTATGAGTACTAACTCTTAGGAAGCCGAAATTATATCAAGCGGGCTCTCAAGAAGGACCAACGACCTTTGAGAACTCTTAAGCTTGTGGCAATATCAAAGGTCTACTCTATCCATGAAGCATCATGAGGTAGTTGGAATCCTAAGGTGGGCCATGCCTTGGATGTTGCAGAATATTGGGAGGTTTGGTTGATTGGTTTCGCCTTCTTCCCCGGAAGTAAACATCATCAAAAATCCAGAACCTACTCAATGCTTACACTGTTAGTTGGGATTGGTGTGGAAGTTTTACACAAAGGGAAATGGGGAAAGGAGGACATGAAGTAACATGGTCTCATCTACCATCTTATCTGGAGGAATGTGGTCCCTTCCACTACCCTGAAGGAATATGGTCCCTTCCACCATCTCATCCTGAAGGAACATGTTCTGGTCTACCTTCTCACTGTACCTCTTCAGAATGACATGGTCAGAGGGCTTCAAAATTGGCTGGATGCCACTGGTTTAAAGTTATCTGGCTATCTTACATTAGTACCTCCCATTTAATCCTCAAGAGATAAGTTATTGGAAAGAAGGTGGCTTAAAAACACCTCTGAGAGGCACGCAGGACGAGGAATCCAACGAGTGGAAAATGGAATTGGTTTGAATGTTTAAACATGGCTGAAATTTCAGCATCACTGTATCTGCTTAGGGTCACGAATAGGAAGCGACGGTAATGATGGTTTGCCATAACTGTGAGATAGTCTACTAACTTAACAGCTGCAGGGACTCACTTAACAAGAAAGGTTGTAACCTGAGCCCAAACTCACTTAACAAATGTTTTGCTTAGCATTAGAAGTTTTGGGCTCAATTGTGGCCATTAAGTTGAGGAATACTTGTACCATGAGATTTGGAAATTGCTGAAGGACACCACCATGGTGTTCCTGCAGACGTCCAGGAGATCCAGAGAGTGTCAGCCTCAAAAGGATCTCTGACTGTACTATTTGTGACCTCACAGAAGTTAAGCCAACAGGAGACAGCATAACTGGGACAATTCCACCTCTACAATCTGCTTGGAATGGCTTAGAGAGGATCAACTAACAGCGTCATAAGAGGTAGAGTGGCAGTCCAGACAATGAGTTCTTTTTGCGGTAGAAGAGACAACGGAAACACAACAATTGAACGGATGGGACTCTTAAAAGTCTCTCCATCCAACCTCTTGAGTCGTTCCTTGCTTCTCGGTTGACTTCTTGGGCTCTTGAGTTGTAGCAGATGTTTCCAGTGGTTGCTTCCTAACTTTCCTTTCACTAAAGACCCATCCACTGTTCCTTTCGGGTCCGAACATTTCTCCAAGAACAATACGTGCCGTCACGGTTCTTTTGTAGTCAAAGAAAAGTTGCACCTTCCAAGTTCTGGACCTCGGCAAGGTTGGGGAAGGAGTCCAGTCTAAAAGCTGCCATCTCACCTTGGAAGTCCTGAAGAACATGGAGGAGAAGGACCAACCTTCCAGAAGATACAAAGAAGGAAGGATGGATCTCCTCCTCTTGGAATCCTTAAGGCCACTACCTGGAGATGTGAGACGGGAGACCATCCGGCCGATAAAGGTATCTCCAAATGGCATAGTAATGGGTGCCAGCTCCAAACGCCACAAAGAGGTGCCAGATGGCGTGGGCGAAGGGGATGCGTCCATCACTCTTGAAGAAGACGGTACCCAAGCAGTAAAAAATGCCACCAGCCACCAGCTCCACCAGGCCTTCCGTGTTGGGCTGCAAGAACCAGGATAAGCAGAGGAAGCAGTCAGTGGACTTGGTAGAAGAAGACCCAGAACCCATGAAAGTCTAGTCGGCTTACGACCACAATGGAAACCAAATCCCCATCGCTAAGCAAGGCAGTTGTTAAGCGAGTTGCGTCCCATTTTATGATCTCTTTTGCCCTGGTTGTTAAGTGAAGCCACTGCCAGTTGTTCAGTGAAACCAGGTGGTCGTTTAACAAATCTGGCTTCCTCCATTGCGGCATATTTGCTCGTTGGAAGCCAGCTGGGAAGTTCAGAAAGGGGGAATCGCAGGATGCCGCAACAGTCATAAGTCCATGTCAGTTGCCAAGCCCCCGAATTTTGATCACATGACCCTGAGGATGCTGCAAGTGTGGCAGTCGGTCATAAGTCACTTTTTCAGTGCTGTTGTATCTTTAAACAGTCACTAAACAAATGGTTGTAAGTCAAGGGGTAACTGTATTCCCGATTTGTTCAGGAGGAGGAGACACTTGGATGGACCTTGTCACATTTCTGCATTTCCACTGAGTCACTTACCATGGAGAGAATGACCAGGGCAGGGAAAAACCCCATCACCAGGTAACAAAACAGCTCCACCAGCTTGTACCTGGGGATCAAGAAAGCCAACCTGAGTTTGGGAAACCTTGATATGGTTTGCAACTCAAGATAAGCCACAATCGACTTCCCCCCTTGCTGAATGAATAGCAATAGCACTGAGACTTATATGCTGCTTCACAATGCTTCACAGCCCTCTTTAAACGGTTTACAGAGTCAGCCTATATTGCCCCCCAACAATCTGGCTCCTCATTTTACCACCTCGGAAGGATGGAAGGCTGAGTCGACCTTGAGCTGTTTCAGGATCGAACTCCTGGCAGTGAGCAGAGTCAGCCTTCAATGCTGCATGGATGGATGGATGGATGGGAGGGAGGGAGGGAGGAAGAGAGGGAGAAGATGGAAGGCTGAGTTGACCTTGAGCCAGTCAGGATTGAACTCTTGGCAGTGGGCAGAGTCAGCCTGCAAAACTGCACTCTAACCGCTGTGCAACCATGGCTCTCGATCCAGTTGTCTGGGCTCACCTCGCCCAGGAAGCCATAAAACCTAGTTTCTAAATCCACAGGGGTTGAGAGTACAGGTAGTCCTCAACTTATGACTGTAACTGAGCCTGGCAATTACAATTGTGAGTCGTGACAGTCATAAAGCAGGTCAACAGGTGACCAACCAATTTTACGACTGCAGGAGAGGGGCGGGTGTTAGAAGCTCAGACCCGGGTTGTAAGTAGCTTTTGGGGTGGTGTCGGTCATCACTTTGAATAGTCGCTGACCAAACAGTCATAAGTCGAGTACGACGTGTAACAAGATATGCACTGCTCCTCACATCAAGTGCCACGAACGGATGAAGCTGCGTAGGATGTGCAGCTATTTGAGAAAACTCTGTTCTTCTGTCCAAACAACTTGGGCTCATGAGTTATGGGGCGAGTTTGCCTTATTTTCACGCTCTTCCAACGACATTTCTAACTTTGTTCTATAAGCAAACCACGATAAAGGATTAAAAACTAATAAGCAAGCAAAAGAAAGCTGTGCCTGTGATATCTTTCTTTCCACCAGAGGGCGGTGTAGACCAACGAAAGCTATACTTCCCAGCCAAGCCCACGCGCGCGTGGATTTTGCCCTCCGAGGATCCCACTCTCGCTCGCCCACTCACCGTTCGTGGAAAAAGAAGACGTAGACCGTCCCCCCCGTGGCCATGATCCAGATGATCCAGCGCATGTGGGATGCCCAGGGACCCAGCTCCCGCAGGTTGAGCCTGGGGGCACAACGGGGACATTAGAAGTCACGGGGAGAAGCCACCCGCTGGCAACGCAGGCCGGACACCACCGAGATGACTTGAAAGATCGCAAGGAAGTTGGTCACATCCTTGGTGGCATTTGGGATTCAACAGCCACCTTCTCCCCCCTTCCCACCGCACCATACCCCCTGTTCAATCTAGATTTGATCCGGTACCCAAGTCTTCTCACCAGCCAGTGGCTTTAGAGTGTTCCTCCTACTGCTTGAAAGACTACAAAGACATAGCAAAAGTAGATCTCTCTCTCTCTCTCTCCCTCCCTTTCCCTCTCCTTCTTGCTCCCTCCCTCTCCCCCTTTCCCTCTACCTCTCTCACCTCTTCCCTCCTTCCCTCTCCCTCCCTCCCTCTCCCCCTCTCCGTCTTTTACCTCCTCCCTCCCTCTCTCTCCCCTTTCCTCTACCTGTCTCTCACCTCTTCCCTCCCTCCCTGTCTCCCTTTCTGTCCCCCTCCCTCTCCCTCCCTCTTTCTCTCCTTCCTTCCCACCCCCTCCCTCTCTTTCACCTCCTCCCTCCCTCTCTCTCCCCTTCTCTCTACCTGTCTCTCACTTCTTCCCTCCCTCCCTCTCCCTCCCTCTTCCCCTTTTCCTCTCCCTCTCCTTTTCCCTCCCTCCTCGCTCCCTTTCTCCCTCCCTTTCCCCCCCTCTCCCCTTCTCTCCTCTTTCCCTCTCCCTCCCCTCCTCCCCCGCCCTCTCTCTCTCTCACACACACACACACACTCAGACCTAGAGAACCATTTAGATCCGGGGGTCTCCAACCTCAGCCCCTTTCAGACTTGTGGACTTCATCTCCCAGAATTCCTCAGCCAGCCATGCTGGGTCCACAAGTCCAGGTCCACAAGACTTAAGGCCACCGAAGTTTGAGACCCCGGATTTAGATGATCGGTCATAGCAGTTTGACGGCGGCCCTGCTGAGCCGCCGAGAGCGACAGGCGGTTTGTGAGAACTTACCAAGGAGCGTAGGAAGCTGCGATGAAGAAATAAATCACCATCCTGTCGAACATGTGTAGGCAGTGCTCCACGGTCCTGCAAAAGAGGCAGAGGGAGAAGAGTGGGGTTTGTTGAGTTTCGTTTTCTTTGGGGGAGCAAGTGGCTCAGAAGGGACCTTTCCTAATTTCTCAGGGCGTAAAGGAGATTGGTCCAAACCGGATGGACCAGGGATCTGATGTCGCTTCCTCTGACAATCGAGCTTTCTTTGCTGCTGCCCGGCTGGCTGAAGGCTGATTACCTTAAGTGCCGTTTCTTCCAGGAGATGGTATGAAAGGTGGTGGAGACGATGAAGAGTCCTGACAAGCCGAAGCCGTAGATCCATGCAGAAATTGTCTCCCAGTGATTGTCCGAGAGGAGGTAGAGAACCGAACTTCCGAGGATGCTGGGAACAATCCAGAACTGGAAGAGAGAAAGTAGAAGAGAGAAGGAAAGTTCTGAAAGGAGGTTGGAGGAGATGGACATCATGGATTTGAGCACTGGAGATCTCACTGGGCATCACATGGACATTGGGCATCTCCCATGGACATTGGACATCTCCCATGGACATTGGGCATCTCCCATGGACATTGGACATCTCCCATGGACATTGGGCATCTCACTTGAACATTGGACATCTCCCATGGACATTGGGCATCTCACTTGGGCATTGAACATCTCCCATGGACATTGGGCATCTCCCATGGACATTGGACATCTCCCATGGACATTGGGCATCTCACTTGAACATTGGACATCTCCCATGGACATTGGGCATCTCACTTGGGCATTGAACATCTCACATGGACATTGGACATCTCACATGGACATTGGACATCTAACATGGACATTGGACATCTCCCATGGACATTGGACATCTAACATGAACATTGGGCATCTCACTTGGGCATTGAACATCTCTCTTGGGCTCTGAAGACCCCCAACTTCTAGTTCTTGCCCCATCCCACCAGAACGCTCCCTGGAGAAGATACATACAACTCACCGCATGGGTGGCACAGTTGGCTGCGTGTTCATACTCTGTGGGTTGGTACCTTCGGTTGGCTGGGACCCTGTGATTCATAAACCTTGAATGAGAGACAGAAGCAAGGAGAGTCCATCAACTACCTACCATCTGCAACGGAGGAGACTTACTTGCCAGATCCGTCGGAGCGATGCTTTAATCACGGGCCGTGCTTCAACACTTAATATAATAATTTTGATTGGCAGGGATGCCACAGCTATACAGAAATGCACAGAGAGAGAGGGGGGAGGAGAGAGAGAGAGAGAGAGAGAGAGACAGACAGACAGACAGACCCTCCCTATCCATGATCCTTAGCATTCAAGCCATGCGATGGGAAACTTCCTTTGAGCATTATAAGGCCAAAGTTTTTCGTTTGTTTTAACAGGCATGGGATATTTCTTTTTGTTTCTTTTTTTAAAGATGGATGAATTCATCTCTTGGAGGGTCTTGTAAATCCCACAGAGGCCTGGAAACTTTCCCAAGGAATTCTCCCTCCAGCTGAAGCAGAAAGGCAGAAAGAGTCGATGAATTTACGCCCCAGTGAAACTAAAAGTCCGTGTATTAAACCCGGCGGTCTCCGTCCCGGTTAACAAAGAGACGTTGGGCAGGTTTTGAGGCTGGATTGGCGCACTTCAGTTCTTCACCAGGGGCCAGCCTCTTGCAGACAAGGCAAGCATTATTCCTCGGGATGGGTTGCCAGGCAACCATCCAGCCCTCTCCTCAATGTCGGTGTCTTTTCTCCTCTTTGGGGTGGCGAGGTGGAAAGGGGGGGCTTTTCTGCATGTCCTGCACTCAGAGCTGCAGAGGGATGTCACACTTTCCAAAGAAACACACAGAGGAATCATTTCAGTTTAGTCGCTAAGGGGAAGGCAGGTGAGTCCAACGTTACCTTGGACAGAAACTGGAATAATGCTGCCTTGCATCCCAAAATAGCAAGTAAAGAACCAAGGGGATCCTCCTCCTCCTCCTCCTCCTCCTCCTCCTCCTCCTCCTTACAACCCCTCCCTCCTCCATCCCTCTCCTGCATCTCAAGTCTACCTCCTAGGACAAATGGTTTTGTTTACACATCATGCTAAGTTTGGTTGCTTTTAATTGTGGGGTCTGGACTAAGCTTGGCGAGCTAGATGCACACAATGCACTGGACTAGGAATCATGGTTTACGAGGGTCCTTGGTCCTCTCGGAGCTTGGTTGTTTCCTGCAGATGTTTCGTGACCCAACTAGGTGACATCATCAGCGCTAGAAGGGATTGGGGTTTGCACGGATGATGTCACCTAGTTGGGTCGTGAAACGTCTGCAAGAAAACAACCAAGCTCCGAGAACACCAAGGATCCCACAGTTCCTCTCTTTCGTCCTCCTCCTCCTCCTCCTCCTCCTTTCCACAAGGCTCTCTCCCTTCTAGCGCTGATGAGGTTACCTAGTTGGGTAGTGAAACGTCTGCAGGAAAACAACCAAGCTCCAAGAACCCCAAGGATCCCACAGTTCCTCTCTTTCCTCCTCCTCCTCCTCCTCCTCCTCCTCCTCCTCCTCCTCCTCCTCCTCCTCCTTTCCACAAGGCTCCCTCCCTTCTAGCGCTGATGAGGTTACCTAGTTGGGTAGTGAAAGGTCTGCAAGAAAACAACCAAGCTCCGAGAACACCAAGGAGTCCCATAATTCAATCTGAGCTACAAATGTTCCCTTCTATGGGTACCAAAGTTTACAAATCATGGTGGCCACGTCCATATGACGGGCTCAAGCGAGGCCANTTTGGGAGTTGAAGTCCACACATCGTAAAGTTGCCAAGGTTGAGAAACACTGAGCTGCTAGAACAAAGGATGATTTAAGTCTTGCAAGGTGGTGATAAAGGGGGGTTGGACTAGACTTTGAGAAACTCAGGTGCAAATCTACCTTGGTTGCCACCCCACAGTGGTTGTGGGCCTTGGATGGGGTAGGTAATAAGGACATCCAGAAGAAAGTCCAGTTGCCCTTCAGAAAAAGCACCTTTGGGACAACCATGACTATGGACTGCCTTGAGTGGTCCATTGAGCTGATTGAGAACCTCCACAGACATATAGTCATGGATGGTGACATCCAAGATTAACAGAAGGGTTACACTAGATCAAGGGGTCTTCAAACTTGGCCCTTTGATGACTTGTGGACTTCAACTCCCAGAATTCCTCAGCCAGGCACGCGTGCCTGGCTGAGGAATTCTGGGAGTTGAAGTCCAGAAGTCATCAAAGGACCAAGTTTGAAGACCCCTGCACTAGATGAAGTCTTGAGGCACTGAATTTTCAATCAATGTAGGAAGAAGACTTCCAACCAAAATTACTTCTGGAAGAATCCCAGCTCTACCAGCTGACAAGACTTGGCCAAAAAAAAACCCACCACCCACATGGAACCGTGTGCTGTATTTTGTTTGGGAACAACCAGATGCCTCGCTGTCAGAAGACATGAGTCCCATATGGAGCCCTAGGTCCTCGGAGATTATTTTTTTTTTTTTAATGCAGATTCAGTATTTGTGGAGATAGGTTTGCTCACCCAGCCTGAAGAAGCTGTCCATTGGATGCTGAAGAAGTCAGATAGGAGGTTTGCTCACCCAAGCTGTAGAAGATGTCCATTGGGTAATAGTAATAGTAATAAAGTTGGAAGGGACCTTGGAGGTCATCTAGTCCAACCCCTGCTCAGGCAGGAAACCCTATACCATTTCAGACAAATGGCTGTCCAGTCTCTTCGTAAAAACTTCCTGATTCTTTCTGGCTCATTTTTAAAAGCGAGGGGTTGGGTTCTCTTCCTTCCTAACTTCAAAGTGTTCTGATCACTGTGTGGAGGAAAACTTTAATTTCTACACCCCCCCCCGCCGCCGCCTCTCTCCCCTCCCCTGTACTTCAGATCCCCATGGAAACCCTTTCCAAATGATTTGCAGAGATTCGGCATCAAAACTGGGGAAAGAAGGCAAGGGAAAACCGTCCTGCAAGAAACTCAAACCACTTATTTAAAATAATTAGTCCGAAAGGAAAAAGAGAGAGAAAAAAGGAACGGTTTTAGAAAAATAAACTTCGCTCCCCACAAAGAGAATCAACCTAACAAGTTATCACTGTCTCTTAGAAGGCAACTAAACATTTCTTTATAATAATAATAATAATAATAACAACAACAACAACAACAATTAATAACAATTAATAATAATGATTAATAATAATAATAATAAAGTTGGAAGGGACCTTGGAGGTCATCTAGTCCATCCTTTGTTCCATCCTTTGCTCTGCTTTCTGTAAGCCCATCTCTAAATTGGAACATTTTGCCCGTGTCTCATCTTGAAAGTTTAGGATCTCTCTCTCCCCCCAAATGTCTCTTCTCTCCGTTTCTACCCCGATGCACAAAACTCCCTCAAAAAAAGTTTGCTTTGAAAGAAAGAAAAAAAAAAACCCCTGTGCCAGTTCACAGATGGGTGGGAAATCTTTTGTCTCGATAGACGGTTTCTATCAATGCAAAAAAGATCACATTGTCACAATGGCAGCTGGTTTCCACAGGCATGGAGAAAAGGAGTGATGGGATGAAAAAAATCTGATATTACACAGACACGCACGTGCACACAGACACACAAATACACACATACACCCCTCCAGACTCTTTCTGTTTGTGGCATCTAAGTTTACCATTCCTGAAGCCTGGTTGGTGATCTGATCCTTCCTGGAATTCTCNTTGTCACAATGGCAGCTGGTTTCCACAGGCATGGAGAAAAGGAGTGATGGGATGAAAAAAATCTGATATTACACAGACACGCACGTGCACACAGACACACAAATACACACATACACCCCTCCAGACTCTTTCTGTTTGTGGCATCTAAGTTTACCATTCCTGAAGCCTGGTTGGTGATCTGATCCTTCCTGGAATTCTCTTTCTGCTTTCAGGAAGCAAATGGGCAGATCAAAAGGGACGATCCAGCCCAGAGAAACAATAGCAGGCTGTTAATAGAAGCAACGGGGTGACCGGATCCGGCCTTCTCCAGATGCTTTCCCTTCAATTCCTGCATTGGGGGGGGCACAGGTGGGCCCCAAGCACCTCCCAGAAGCTCCAGTTTAACCTAATCAGGAGGATCATCAGAGCCATCTTCTCAGCTGCGTTCTAATCCTGCAGCCGCCATCCAACAGGTAAAGCAACAGTCCTTCCTACATTTAGTTCATAGTTTCACGATAGGATAGGATAGGATAGGATAGGATAATAGAATAGAATAGAATAGAATAGAATAGAATAGAATAGAATAGAATAGAATAGATAGGACAGGACAGGACAACAGAACAGAATAGACCAACAGAACAACAGGAAAGAATGGAATGAAATAGAAATAGAATTAATAGAATAAAATAGAATAGAAATAGAATAGAACAGAACAGATCAACAGAACAACAGGAAAGAATAGAATGGGATAAAATTAGGATAGGATAGGATAGGATAGGATAGGATAGGAGCCCTGAAGGCCCATCTATTCCGTGCGGCCGGCCTGGCGTAGATTATGTTTCAGTGGGGGGTTTTTTACGGGTGTGTTTTTAGAACAGGCCTGTTATTTAATTCGATTTTAAAACAAAGTATTTATTTATTATTGTGGTTTTTAGTATCGCCTGTTCACCGCCCTGAGTCCCGCAAGGGAGATAGGGCGGTATATAAATTTAATAAATAAATAAATAGGATAGGATAGGAATATTTTATTTGGCCAAGTGTGATTAGACACACAAGGACTTTCTCTCTGGCGTGGAAGCTCTCGATGTACATGCAAAACAACAGAGTGATGGTCACGAGAATGATACCAATAGGAGAAGGTAGTAGAAAAGATGAGAAGCATGATAGTCATGCAGCCATACTACATGGGTAAATTTTACTGCATGGGTCAAGTTGCCTCCTTTAGGGGTGCCTGAAGAAGCATTTGGTGTAACTGGAAAGTGGGGCCACAAAATATTTCATCCACCTTGGCTGATCTCCTGGAACCAGCCAAGCCAGATCACGCTCGGTTAGTTTGGGATGGGAGACCACCCAGAAATCTCGGGGCTCTAGGTTGGACTGGGAAGTGAAAGGACAAAGAATAATAGCTCAGAAGGACCTCCGTTCGCAAACCTGCTCCTTGTGCTTGCCAAGAAAAACGGCACGGATTCCCTAGCAACTGAAACCCTTGCACAGTTAAGTTTCCTTTGTGTGTTTTTTTTTAAAGAAAAAAAAGGCTCATTTCAGAGCCCTTTCTGCTTTTTCCTCATCTTCACCCTATCGGGATTGTTTTCCTTCTTTTGTCGGGGTCCGTGAAGGTCCCACATCCCATTTAGGCTTTATTCTGATGGGCCCATTTCCTTGATCCGGGGAAAAAAAAAAAAAGGAGATTGAAGCCCATTTGCATCCCACCCTTGATGTAAAAAAAAAAAAAAAAAAGCCCTAAATTGAGCAAAGAAATCCAGTAAACTCACAGATAAGGCAATGTAGAGAAATGAGAGATGGGCGGGGGGTCTAGCCTGTGCCTCTCCTCCTCCTTGCGCCCCCCCCCTCCCCAAGAACTTTCCTTACCTGGCAAAGCGCGTCTTCTGAAAATCCAGGAGTCTGGAAACAAACATGGTGAGATTTCCATCAGGTGGCCGCTTCGGAGGTGGCGGGAGGGGGGTCCCTCACAGCCTCCCCCGGCCTCCGGGAGGAAAGGGTCTCTCCACCCCACCCAGCGGGGTCTCCCCTGAGCCGCCCATCGCCCATCGCCGCCTCCCAGACGCGGAACGGACGAATGGATGGATGGATGGATGGACTTCGCGGGTCCGGCTGGGGAAGATCAGACGCCCGCGGCTGGGAGTGGGGGGGGGGCGTCTGGGTGGGAAGGGGTGTCAATTGTCCCGGTGGGCAGGGGGGGACATTCTCCCCCTATCCAGCCCAGCGAAGGAATAGGAAGGGAGGGCTAAGGAGGACGAGGAAGGAAGCCCCTCGGGTGCCCCCCCTTCTTAGTCCCAGTTGCATGAAAAG